CAAAACTAACTAACTAAATTAATAAATAAATAAGTCGTGGCAGACGGACTCGAGCAGCGGAAGAGCAAGGCTAATTAAGATGATCTGAAAATTAGTTATCTTTAAAGAGCTAAGGCCCCAAAAGTCGATTCTTGTGCTACGCTTTCAGCATGGAATTCTGCAAAATCAATAACACGTAATGGCCTTTTTTTTTCATGTACAAAGTGTAGCTTTAATCTTAGAATTCTACTTAAGTCATCTGCAAGAGGGAAAATATTTTACTGGTATCAGTTTATTTTGCCTGAATATGCTGCATTAAAGTACTGTATTAAAAGCATCAAAAAACTTGCTAATGGCTAGAAATACACCGCTGTATTAGAACATCCCACTACCACCAATTGTAACTTCTACTTGGGTACTAAATGCAGCTAGCCCTGTTAGGCCACTTCTTGCCTCTAGGGATATATCTGAAAGCCTTGCAACGATGTAGCCAATATAACGATGGGCGTAGGGAGGGCTTCCCTGACACTGAGCAGTCTATAGATGCAATGGTAAATGTGTAAGATGCAAGGCTGAACTATTGCATAGTACCAGAGAAATGGACCAAAAGGATAAACTATTAGAACCTAAATTCACACACATGTACACCCTTTTATAGTGTAGCTTTCATATCAGATGATCACTATTATTTCCTCTTTGGCTGATATACTAGCATAGTTTGATGTTTTTCTCTTTGGAGTGGCAAGAAACAGGAAAGAAGACAGAACCAGACGTGGAGGGAGTGGGAAGAGCAAAGAATATCTAGTGGCTGGGGTTTCTTTTTCCAAATAATTCAGTAAAAGATAAAGATGAAGTGAGCTTCATCGATAGACCTGTTGTTAGCTATTACAACTTACTGTCTTACAGTTGTTTGTCAAGGTTTGACAGCAGACCTTTTCTGTTCGAGATTTCCAGAATGTTGGCAGAGCTGTCAGTGCACCCTAAAGCTCCAAAACAAACTGCGTTTTCTTTTAGAAAGAACATACTGGCCGCCTTGTTATCGGAGACCACAGATCAACCTCTCACTTCAGGACAGGTCAGTTTATCCAGTTGCTGATACAAAGTTGGAAATTGAACGCTTTTTTAGGAACATCTTAGTACTTTGAGCTTCATAGATATTGCAGGGAAGGATTTCAAGTTTTTCGGCTGAGGCTGAAGACAGGTCAGGTTGTGTAGTTGTAAAAGTCCCTCTTGCTAAGACTACTGACAAACAGGCATCTCTAACTGCTTTTACTTGCCTTCCAGGTTCAGCACAGTACTTCTGGCAGTCAGCTAAACTTGTGTACAAACGCTTTGCAAATTAGGGCCTCTGCCTCCTCAGTCTTACTCTTTTAGTGAACTAAGAAAGGAATATTTTGTTGCTATTGATACCTAGGAGAATTATGGTGCATCTTCATTGTTGCCAAGTATAGCCATGCAAACCTCTAATGTCAGGGTGCATGGGAAAGAACAGGGCTGATCCCCCCACCCCACCCCCAATCCTCCAGATGATTCCCTGCTGAATAAAGATAAAATTACCTTATACATTACCTATATATTACCTTATATGTCTCTACCTTACAGCAATAAGGTAGACGAGAAAAACATCTGCAAAGTTATCTTGGCAATTAGCAGTAAGTTGATGTCATATAACATATGACCACGATAACTAATTTCTTACCAAGTTTGCTCAGGTAATAAGTCAAAGTACACTAAATTCAAACTTGGCCTTGACTATTTGGGAGAAGCTTTGATAAAGCTGTAAAGAATAGTAACTGTCAGGGTTCCAGAAAACTTCTTTCCCCAATGTGCTCCACTGCTAATTTTTCAGCTGATGAGAGGGGAAAATACATATACGCGCACACACACACACACACATATATATATGTATATATATAATTATCTACCAGAACAAAACCCCAAAGGAAGCCTGAGGATCAGTTCTAGGTTCTGTTAGCTGCTGAGTGACTCAGAATCACTTCCCTGTACCTGAGTTTTCTAGAAAGGAGATGATGTTTCCTCTAAAGAGTCATACATATTCCATACTGCTTTGTTACTAGCAAGGAGATAGGATGCTGCTTTTTCAGCCACAGAATACCAGAACAAATATTTTCTTAACGCTTTTCCTTCCCTTTTCCAACATGTTTTTGTCCTTCTACAGTAACACACACTAATTTCCATGGAGCAAACATTAATTTGCAATACAAACTTTTCATTTTACAAAGGTACAAATTAAAAGTCAGTGCTGTTAAGCCTGTGGGGGAAAATTAGAGGTTCCTACCTTTAACAAGGTCAGGGAATTCTGAACTATTTTAAGACTGCATTTTCCTCCATTAAAAATAACGTTCCTTTATTTACTTACTGAAGTGAGTAGCGATAAAGGGCATGTAAAATTAGCTGATGCTGTGTTAACTAGACATGAAAATTAAGTTTTCCTGCTAATTCCTAAAGATGGAAAAAAGTAAAGAGCTGTAGCTGCTGTTCCTGAAAATTCAGGATGCATAAAATAGTCCCAGAATGCAGCTCCAAAACAAGAGTGGCAGTATTGTCCTGGCTTCTGCTGCTAATCGTAGTTTAGAGTGTGTGTTATACAGTGAAGGTCAGAAACTTGCTGTGACATGTTGCAGCACTGGCAGGAAGCACAGAGACGTCATAATACTTGTTTCCCTTATTTAGCAGAGAATATACCGTGCATAGTGCATCCGTCTGAATGTGCCAGGTCTTAGTAACTTACTGTCCCGTCATTGTATCAAGCAATTTTACTTGTACGCTTGATAAGATTGCTTATAAATCTAGTGGCTTATATATAATTACAATAGCCAACTCAATAGTTTCTAAGCAGGCTGAATTTAAACTCTTTCACATATATAGTGATAAACTTTGAAAGTCTGGTGACTTTGTGTAATTTGATATCTTTGTTAATTTGAATGAACCATAACCAAAGTACACTGGACATGCAGGGGAAGAAGACAAGAAAATGAATGAAGAACTAGAGTCTCAGTACCAACAAAGCATGGACAGCACGATGTCCGGACGAAACCGGCGCCACTGCGGACTAGGTTTCAGTGAGGTAGTAAGTTGTTTATCTCCTTCACAATTTGCCTCTTGCTTCGCTAGGACAAGATGATACATGGATGAGCAAACTTACGCAATTTAGGTTAAAGGACAGACCTGTTGCATTCACTTGATCCTTACTGACGTACATTGTGGTAGCTATTTAAATGCCCTGAAATGATTGATGTTTCTCATTGTTCAGAAAAGTGATATAACATGCTTAATGCACCACAGTGGTCAAGACAGATTAGGACAAAAAGTGACAAATCTATTAAATCGGGGTGTTGCAAAGAAATCCATGAGAAGGCAGGGTGACCACCTACGCTGTCAACAAGAGCTAATTATTCTTAGTTTCTTGTTGCTGTGATGCATGCACCTCTCTATACCCACCTACTTTTCAGGACAATAGAGGGGGACAGACAAGGGAAACTAGCTGTACAAACAGCTGAAGTCCTTCGGTGAGTTGACACCTGACTGGTCATGTAGTTACGAGGTATTGTAGATGGATGAGCAAGGAAGAGAAGTGTGTGTGGGGGGGGGAAACAGAATGAGGTTATCAGGAAGCCACTTTATCTGCAGAGAGGTGCAGTAATTAATTTTTGGCTAACTGTTAGCACTATTGTATAAAACATTTAGCTAATGTTTCCAGGCTGAATGAAACAACCTGTGCAGTGCTGGAAATTTGTAGTATTATGAACACAGAGGCTTTGTTCTTTAGGCATGAACAAAAATCCATTTCAGGGCCGTCCTTGTTAGCAGCAACATCATTGGATGACTTCAGCATTCCAAACATTGCGTTGTAATGCTGTGTGCTAAACTTATTTTCAAAGATTAGTCATGAATGTCTCTAATAATTTTTATGTCAAAGATTTGTGTTTAACAACACATCCCAATTTAATATTAAAATGAAGGGAGCCATTGAGCAAAACATTCTCCCTGGACACTAAAAAAGATGGAGTTGCCAGGAAATAATAAAGTTTATCTGTCTCATCATCTGAATTTCTAGTTTCAGGAAGGTGAAGAACAAGAAGAGGCAGCCGGAGACTCCTCTGAACATGAGAGTTCAGAGGACTCCGAAAGTGGCTCTGAGTCAGAGCAAGAGGAATCTGCTGAAGAGCTACAAGCTGCTGAAAAACATGAGGAAGCTGAGGTTCCAGAAAACAAAAAAGAAGCAAAAAGCAATTATAAAATGATGTTTGTTAAAGCCAGTGGTTCATAACTGCAGATGTAACAGCTTTGTATTTAAAGTACAGTAAGCCTTATCATTACAGTGCAAAGTGGAGGACTGCTACAGCACAAATCTTTGTATTATGATTTTAAAAATACCCTGTTAGATGACAAAAAGTAGTATTTGCTTTCAGTTGCCATGGATAACATTTTTATGGGCACAGTGGTATTCCTGTTTTTTGTAAAGTGTATAAAGTACTGGATGAAGAAATAAATTCTTTTTGTTCCTGCCCTATCTCTACAATGTTATCTGAACTATCCCTCCCCTTATTCCGTCTCAGAGCCTGTTAGTGGTTTCTTTAATGAGTACCCTCGTCTTGCATTTTTAAATATAAGATTACATGTTAATTACTGGATGTTACATTAGTTATAAAATACCAGTATCCCCTCCATTCTGTGTTGTACTATGACTTTAAACAATGATTCCGTCTATAGATGCTAGTCTTGACAGGGCTAACAACGGAAGTCCCTCAGTTGGTGATATTAATCACTGTATTCATCTGAAGTCCTACAGCAGTTTTATGGGAAGGGAGGTTTTAGAAATACATGATAACAGCAGAAGGCTCTAGTTCCTTCTTTGAGTTTATTATAGTACAAAGAGGAATGAGAACTGTGCACTGTGTATAAGCTGTAGCTCTCAATACTTGTCACTAGAAAAGAGTGATTTTTTTGAATTACTGGCTCTTGGTTGCAGCACTGAGTTCACAGAGTTGTTTTTAGTAACTCCCCCTGAAGAAACTAGTTTCCTTTGACAGAAAAATATACTTTGAAAATGAAAAAGATATACAAATCATTTAGCTTTTTTAAAAATAAGATACAGAGTTAAGTATGCAAGCCATTCTTCCTTTTCTCACCACATACGCATCACTTGGATGGCTGGAGTGAATTACCAAGAAACGACTGCAATCTCTCAAGTGAAGTTCATATGCTTAAAAAGTCAGGAGTTTGAATAAACTCCTTGCAGCAAGGATTAAAAAGGTCCAGTTCTTCCACAAATGTATAGGTTATCATTGTAGTAAAGCAACTAATACAATATTAAAACTTTTTAGACTTTGCTGCTGCTTAGTGCAGACAGATAATTGCTTCTCCTTGCTGAGAGGTCAAATCTGTACCTCGCGTACAACCTCATTCTTCCACAACAGTGTTTTAAGAAGCATTACAGACACTTGCAGGGAATCTTCCATTTCTGTATACAATTTATGATACGCAGATAACATTTGCAAGTCAGCTTACATGAAAGCAGCAGTATGTACCATCATTGTAAAGATTCACTGAACGTAAACATTGCAGCATCAGTTATGAGGGGAGGAATTGAAGTAAGTTACATTTTGGAAAAAATAAAAGCAATATCATTTTAAATAAAATCTGACTGTAGATTTTGATTAAGGTAATCTGCTCTTCTATATTTAATATAAAAATTTTCAAAGTAACTAAGCTGGTTTTCTTTAAGAACCACCTTAGAGCAGACACTGAAATGTAGTGATTTGTACTTGACTTATATGGATTTTTTTGTTTTCCTAGTATTTCAAACCTCTAATACATAGATTTATTAAAAAAAAAAAAGTATTGTTCTTGTACGAACTGAAGAAAGAAAACATCACCATGGTTTACAAAAACTACTCTAACTCCAGGAAAATAAAGCTATTACTTAAAAGCACAAAAGCTGAAGAATGGATAGTCTCATTCAAAAACAGGCTTTGGATTCATGGTATAAGTCTCTTTTGAGAGTACTTACTTTTGTGGATAGCAGTTCTGGTAAAAGCCCTTCAAGATGTGGCTTAATAGCTAAGGCCTGAAATAACGGTGATGTGAAGTCTGAGAAAACACCCCAGGATTACAAGTCTAGGAATACCTGTGTTACCACTAAATATTTGGCAATTTTTCCTCAATTTTAGATTTTTTAAAATCCTTTTTAAACATAAAAAGTTTTTTAGCGTTATTGCAGAAAAGGTTATCTATCAAAAACGCTAGCTCAGACCAGGCTCATTCCTTGAAGGCAGGATAATGTGACAGCATCAACCTAAGACAAGCTGTTCAATCTGTTTCCCATCTTCCCAACCCCCAAATTTTATATTTTGATGGGTGAAAGCAGTTGGGTGAGGAGAGAAAAGTCAAGCTGATTGACTTTCCTAACGGACTGAGATGAGTCTTCTCCTATTTAGATGATCTAGCTACACTTATATCAGCATTTCACGGTTAAATTCTTTTAGACATGAGTGCTGGTTTATTGTTTATTTCCTGGAGTGCAATTACAAAATGAAGGTTTAGGCAGGAAAAGCTACATTATACCGACCTCTCTCCCTTCTCTGTCCCAGCAACGAAGACAGTGCCGCTCCCATAACCTTCCCCCTGCCCACAGCTGCTCAGATAGCCTCTGCATAGATGCACAGCTCTCTCAGCTTAACCTTCAGCACACATCTAAGCTGGGATTCCCACTTCCAAAAGGTGATGCAATCTGTCGTTGCAGAAATACACTGCAAGACAGTGGGCCTTGCTGCCTTTCTTCTAACTTCCAAGGAAGGGCAAGAAATAACCTCACTTGACGGCTTTTCTGCCCAGTGCAGCCACCCTGGGAAGGCACAGGAAAAGCAGACCCACCTGGCAGTCACTGTGTGGGTCTTTGCCCCACAGAACAGGCTACCACCGTGAGCACCACTGGGAGCTTCCCCCACTCCCCTCTGCCCTGACTTCTTTACAGCCTCTTGCCTTTGTAAAAGGGATTTGGCAAAGGGATTTGGTCTTCAGTCTGAAATAAACAAACAGACCACACTAGGATAAAAAGTAAACTGAAATTAAACTATTCTGGTAACAACTCTTACCGGAGAAAGTTAACGCAGCATAACTTTCATTCCCCAGACACATGACAACTAATATTCTAAGCATCTGGTAGGTTTGGTGCAACTCATTTCTGATGCTCAACAAATAATCATCTCCTCAGAATAGCAAGAGTTCTAGATAATCACGTTTCTATGTAACATTCAGAAACGTATTACCACGATCGAGGCAACGATCATGTTAGTACCTGCAAAGTAGTTCATGAAGCAGCCTCTCCAGGAAACTTCTTCATATATGCCAGAAAAGGCTAATTTAGTTCAACAGAGATTCTGAAATTAATTCAGGAGTCGGTTTTAACAGTATTTGGCATAACAGCCTCGGCATTAGTGGCATGGATAACAGCAGAAAGAATTCAGCTCTCATACTCGTTGGAGACAGAGAACACAGAGGAAAACCAAGGCTGGTATCTTGGCCGATTCTGTAGTTAGTTCTCTGCTTTTCAGGTTGGCATGGAAGAAGCTTCTAGAGGTGACAGCAGAAAACGTAACCAGATGCTGAATCAGAAAGGGGTAAATTGCATTTGTCTTTTCAAACAAGATTTGGTCACTCAAACTACTCAACTCAAGGACCAGTTTACTTCCATCTCAATAAGAAAGGTAGAAGTCTGCCCATACTTCTACATGCCTTAGGAAACAACTGATGCAAGTTAGATTTGTCAGGGAAAAACCATCATGGCCTTGTAGAAGTTCTCACCCATTTCCAAATCCCCACTGACAGTGAAATTGGAAGATGGAGAACACTTGACACCAAGCAGAAAACACACGCGTGCCTGTTCCCCTTGCATTTCCCCGTAGAAGAGGGAAAGAAGAGTACCACTGCAACCCACACCACCCACAAGGTCCTGCCATGACAAAAGAGGACGCTTCTATGCCAGGTAAAGAGGGATCCGTTTCTTTCTCACCCTGAGGCATACAGGAATTCTTTGAGGCCAAGAAAACCCGATCTGTAAGGTGCCCTGTAGCTTTATGCAACTGCTTTACAGTTTACTCTCCCTTTTTTCCCCAAAGAGGAAGCTGACAACTTGATTCCTGAAAGCACAATTTATAGGCCAGCTTCAAAGCTATAGGTCCTTCTAAGGCTCTGGTTGGGGAATTCACATCAAAGGAGATGCGCACATGTTGTTCTGATGTCAGAGCGGACGGCTGGCAGAAATCTCTGCGGATTTACTACAGTCCCCAGAAAAAGGATTAAATTATGCACTGAAGCTGCCTCTGTAAACTGCAGGAGACAAACAGAGCAAGTGGCAGTGCAATATCTCATAATCAAAGCCTGGCACAGTCCTTTGCATCGGTCTCTTGGAAGCTGTCAGGGGACTAAGAGAAGGGACATGTGTCAAGGTACGCTCACTGATGGGACAAAGAGCAAGTTGGTTTTGTTTGTTTGTTCTTAAGACTGACACCTCAACTACATTTTTCCTGAGAAAAACACGTGAGTAGTACAGAGATGTATAGCATCACTCACGATGGACAGCTACCAGTTTCCTCAGCTTTTGCACAGCATTAAAGAAACACTCACTGATTCAATCTAATTTGACTTGTTTCTGATACACAGGTACAGAACAAGATCAGAACAGTTTGTGCTATTATCTATCCAACTTCATTACCACTTACGGTGTCCACAGCTCAGGAAGATCTAGTTGAGAAAAACAGAGAAATGAAAAGTAATATGACAAAAGAGAGCTTTTTGTATCATCAGTCAAGTGATATGGGGCTCATCTAAATAAAACTTCCTTACTTTCACCTTTTTCCCAACTGCCCATCCGGACCAGCAGTGAAATTTTCTTAAACCATTCTCATAGCAGATATGTCCCATCAGGGATTTTCAGCTCTTCCCACATCAGAAGTGGGTTGTGCTCTTTTCAAGTGTGGTAAATCAAACCACATTAAAGACTGCAGAAGAAGTTTATCAATTTGAACTGGCTTCTTTTTATCCTAGTATTTATCATTAAAGTTGCAAAATACACAGGTGAAGTTTTCATCCTTAAATGATTACTACCACATCTGCTGCTTCTCATTACAGCCCCTAAAACCTAGTAATTCTGAGCTGTGTATAAAGGATGCAGTCACAGAACATCTCTTTTCAAAATATAATAGTTTGTCTGAAAGTCTTAACATAAGAAGCCAGCACTGAACTTGATAAATAAATACAATAAAAATCAAATTTACTCAGTATTCTACCGACAAAGCCACTACCCAGACCCCAATTACATGCATACAAAATCATTTGCCCAATCACTTTTTAACTGAATTCAGTGAAGAAAACTGAAGAGTCTTTAGGCTTATAAAAGGCTTCAGGGAAGCCAGGGAACACAGCTACAACCATAAGACGTTCCTCTCTCTTCCCCCCAGATTCTCAAGGATTCAAATACATTAGGTCTTGATAGCTGTGCAGGCCATCCATTTCTAATACTAGTCTCAGCAGCTGTCTCTCAGCACTGGCTGATCCTATGTCTTAGCACCAAATGAAAGGATAACACATTCAACACGTGTGTGCACACCCCACAGACGCACTGCACCCATCTGCTGGGCAGAAGACAAAGTATTTGCTGCTGTTCAATACTGGAGGGAAAAGACGAGTCTCGAAGGCACACTATGGAAGAAGCAGAGCAGGGACATAGAAGAATTCTGTTTAGCATGAACTAAGTGGCTGGAAAAGCCAACAAGACAGGCAACATAAGAAACAAACAGAATTAGCAATGGCTTACGTCAACTCTTTGCTCCAGAGTAGTAAAACCTGAACACAGCGTCCCCAACTGCTTCATTTCATTAAGGTTGCATCTTGCATAACCCATCAACCGGGGCTTCCAAAAAAACTCAAAACCACTCCAGTATCTCAAGAGATGAACTGGAAAAAAACGTTATGCTTTTCTCAACTGTGGCGCTAGAGACAAAATCCAGGCAGCCCCAAACAGCTCAACACAGCAGAACTGAGGCAAGAGGCTGGAGTAGGCCAGAACGCCAAACCCTGCAACAGCAGATCACAGCTGCCGAGGGAGAAACATGCCACTCAGGCCAGCCTCTGGGCCAGGGAGAGACACCTTCTCCACCCCTGGCTCTGGGGAAAGCAGTTTCCACTCACATTTCCACTTGAAATGTGGCTCAAAATAAAGAGAAGCACAGCAGCAGGCAATTCTTACCATAAACACTGAGTCATCGATTTATCTTCTTCACCCTCTGTCACCATCAATACTTCTACTACTCTTGCTTATCCCGTTCACAGTATTTTTTGTGCTAGGACACTGGGCTTCACATTCTCTCTTGCCAAGTATGCCAGCTCCTTGAATCTTTTTACAACTATCTCATTTTAAACCACTAGGCTGTTCTCCACTCTCACCCTCAGCCTCTTACTCACTCTTATTCGCAGATACTGCAATTATTTCCTAAAAACCCACTACTCACCTTCGTTTTCCTAATCTCTTCCTCCCTTTGGTATTTCCTTATGCTATAGCTTCTGGTAAAAGGCTTCTCCTAGCGGACAACAAGCAAACATCACTATCCTTTAAGCTTATATAACACAGTTTCATCAATAGTTGCTCATAAATGCTGTCCAAATGTTTTACTTTTTTTGTCTGGAGGCTGTTGATGGCCCCAAGGCAACAAGAAACATTTATGACACTGTAAGTAAATAACAGGTAAACAGTACACAAACACCCTATTCCATGTGCAGTATTTCCTGGTTTAATTATGTTTTATACTCAGCACTCAAAGTTTTTCTGCCATCTCCCAGCAATTTCATTGCAGGCTTTATAATTTTACCTTCCTGTTAGGGTTACCTGTAGTTTAACATTCAAAGTACAGTTGTGGCACAGAATACCTCAACCGACTTGTATTAAAAATGCTCTTTAAAATTCCAAAGCTTTGAACTAGAGAAATATTTCAAGAAGTTTTCAGGGAAAGTTCATCTCAGTTGGTTTAATTCGGCTACAGTTAGATGCACCTTTTCAAATAATAGAAAAAAAATGTAACAGGGTCAGACCCAATCAATACAGTCGTTCAAACAGAATTTCAAGCACTGTGATGTGTGTACATTTTGTGCTCTTTCTTTGTACTGCTCCACCATGAAGAAAGGTTGCTTTTGCTAGCAGAGCAATAAAAGTCTTAGCCTTTTGAATACAGCCAAATAACCAATAGGAATGTTTACTAGGTGTGGGAAATAGAGCAATTTTTCATGTCTTTCCTGAGCATGTCTTCGTTCTTTTTATAACTACGCAATACATACACACATACTACACAAGCAAACACTTTAAAATACCCAAAGACAGACATAAATCAGAGGAATAAAGCATCAAATCATGCCTTCTGTATCTTCTACGTTTTGAGACTAAATAAATCTGGTCTTTCCTTCATATAACATCCAGAAGTTAATCGCTGTGACACCTGGGAGATTCGACGTTTTACAGAGAGGCACAGACAATTGATATAAAATAATATACGTACATATTTGAAGATCTGGAAATCAGTTAAGCAAATGTTGCAGGTGCAAAAATAACACTGTAAGCAATATCAACACGTGCTGGGAGCGCTCCTCCTTCTCAAAACACCAACCCTTCCAAAGGTTTATGGGATACTCAAGACCATCTCACTTAATTCTTGACAACTTTTTTAAAATAGCAGTACAGGTTTGGTAGTATCTCTCAGAAGTTTTTAATTTGCATAAAAACAATTTCCTGGAATAGAATCCGTTGAACCAGTTGCTTTCCGAAAAATCTTTCTAATTAGTGTTTTTTCCAACTGTTTCAAAATAGTCTGGATGCCTCTAACTAATGCTGCTTTCCAGCTCTTCAAAATAGATAGCTTTATATAGATATACAAAGATGGCCAACAGCTCTACAGCTCAACAGGACTTCCTAACAGCCTATCAGGTAAATATAAATTCAAAATAGAAGAGCAGGGAAAAAGAGGGGTGGAAGAAGCAGGAAGGTTTCATGCAAGTTCCAACAGGTGAAAGCAGTGGTATATATGAGTATTAGGCTGCGGTTTTAGAAAGCCATCTGTACAGTAAAATTTTAATAAACTTAACGCAACAAATTGAAAATACCACTCTAAAAGGGGAGAATTCAGTCTGTAGAACATTTCCTTGGTATAACATCACAAAATGCTAATAAGAAAACAGTGCCTTCACAAGAACTGCTAGTGCTTTCTAATACATTCCTGTTCTTTAATTATAGAGAGTCCCAAATACTGTTAAGACACTTAACAGACAGAGGAAAAAAATGCCACTTTCTGACAGAAAAGAAACTGAGCAATTCTTTAGTATTCTAGCACACTAGAAGTCTTGATAGTAGACAAGGAATGCGTAACACCTAAAAACGAACATTTTGATTACAAGAAATAGAACTGAAGAAGGAAATCGACCCAAACCAAACTCCGTGCACAACTGAAAATTATCTGTAATTATTTAAGGACTACATTCAGCCCTGCAAAGAGATGGTCACTAGAGAATAGGATTGCATATATTCAAGAAAAAAGGCTGGAAGAACAAACAATCTTTTTTTTTTTTTTTTAATCTCAGAATATGAGATTAATTACGGACATAGATGTTTGATTTACCCCAGATCAAAATCTTTAGAAGTATTAGTTTCACTAAAAACATTCATGGTGTAGCCGCCTAGCGCATAATCCTCCTATTTACTGCAGGCATGAATAAGCAAATTTTGTGTGCGTGACTTCCAAGTTGATGGAAGGAAATAAAATGAACATCTCATGCAACTTGCAGAGGAGAAGTTCCTGCAGACCTTTCCTTTTTTCTCCCACAGCAGCATGTGGAGGTACCAGCCAGTGGTCGAGGTAGTTCAGGAACCTGCTGGCTGTGCTCTTCACCCACCAACCATGGCCTCACCCTCAGCCAGATTACTTAGCAAAACTTGTGGCACAAGAACACAGTTTCACTGAACCACAAAACCTGTGGTCAAAGGCTCCTGCGCGTTTCCAGCCTTGTATGTTTGAGAATAGGACAAGCATTGCATAAGCGGCTCAATTCTGAATTCTTGCTTCATGCATCTCAAGGTCAAATGTTAAACTCTCAAGTTCACAGAGTCAGTACTAAGCCACAGAAATACTTGTTACTGCTGGATTTTTTTTAGTTGGTTTTTCACATTTTGTTCTACATATTAAGTTTCAGAAGAATTAAACATTTGCACTGGTCTACATCAAACTCATGTCATTTGAGGGAAACGTCATAGCGCAATTACTATTAGTCACGTGCTACTGAAATCTGGTATACTGCTTGACTGCCAAGTATCTCTTTGGTAAATACCATATTCATACATAGTGCATATGTTACTGTGTGATGCCTCCAGCTTTAGAAGGCGGGAAATGACAGTTTTTATTCTCAAAATGAAAGTTACTTTTGTACTTCATTTCAGCAGAAACTAAATGGGCAGGAATGTGCCAGATGAACAGATGCATCTACAAGATAGTAAGGACAGTATCGTAGTAGTAGTATTTAGGACATAACTCTGAAAAATCTCACTGTTTAAGAATAAAGATATATTCCATCAAATGCTATGAAATATTTATTAAAAAAAGAGATTGGTGTACAGGGAACTTGATTTAAGTTCTACTGCAATCAGTGCAAAACTCAGGAACTTCAAAGGGATTTGAACCAAAGAAGAACAAAATGCTAGAACAGCACAAACAACGCAGGAATTTTAAACTATATGGATACTGATTAGAGAGCAGACAAGACAGGCAAAAGGAGGCAGTTCTGTTAATATTTTAATCTGTACATATACCATTTTCCAAACTGTTACATTTTATTTAAATTAATGTTTTCTTGCAAAATATTTATTTTTCAAAACTTTTTATAAAGGCAAAAATAAATCATTATTTTGGCAAAATGTTTTGAAGTTGATACTGGCAGTATTGAGGTAAAATAGATTGCATTAGCTAAATACATACTTTAAGGATATTTCTGAGTATAGTGTTAACAGAATATGATTTGTCTTACAGTCTGAAACTTGAAAGTCAATCAATTTCAAGGGTTTGCAACTATTACTTGAATACAGCAAATAAACACGGTAGTGGTTTCCCAAAATACTGCAGAAGTATTTCTCAGTCATTCTTATTCAGAGCTGAACTCAACTAATAATTGCATGATATTGGGCAATTTCTTGCATTCAGTGTGTACACAGTTTTTCAAGTAAAGGAGTCGCAGCAATTCATTTAATCTCATTTTCTCCCTATGTAACCACCTCACTCTTTGCCCTATACATAAGTAAAACACTGAATTTGAAAGTCTGGCAAAGCTGAGCACCACAGAATCTACACACAAAATTAGCAGGTGCCATATTACATTAGCTTTGCTGTTTCCAGGATAAATACTAGTTAATACATCATACTTTATTGCTTACTGAAAAAAAAAAAATCAGAAGAAAAATATACACTTACTAGTAAAATGACACATGCTATTAAATTTTATTGCTTACTGCACATATTTTAATTAAAAGTTTCTTTTTCTTCCACATCTCAACTCATGAAAAAATATGATGTCAGCTGTTTGTTACCGAGGGGACAACATTACTGTCAAGAGCAACATAACATACTGTATGTTGATAACGGCAAGTTAGTCATATGGGATCAAAAAGAAAATTGGAGTTAAAACTGAGTCTTATCATGCCTTTCGTAGACAATTTCAGCTATAGAGTGATTAGTGGCATTTAGAAACCCAAGCTAATTCCTTGCAACGCATTGTTTAACGGGCAATAGAGTGAGTGATTAGCTCTAGAAAATATCCATTCCAAAACTCTCTTTCAGTAAACCTCTCAACTGAGTTCGCATTATCGATAATACGCTTTGAATGTGCTTCTAGGATTGTTCAATTTACGTTTCTTCATGAAACCTTACATTGTGCATCTAAGCCTGAGGGGGAAGTAACAGCATCTTGTAACATTTATGTAAGTAGTTCCTCTTAAAATGAATTCAGCCCCTGATTTAAAAAAGTTCTAAAATATATTCTGTTCTAAAAATACATTGTCAGTATCTTATAGAGTCTGTTAAAAGTGCCATTTATTCATATAAAAAGTCTGAACTAAACTGAAGTCAAAATAAAATGATTTGCAAATTGCTTAGTTTTCATAGAAAATCCCCCTATTACTCTCAGAATATATTTTCAAAAGGACATGTGGTCAGTTGGTGAGTATCTTCACAGAAAGCTGGCAATGAACTCTTCTTTCTTCCATGCGGTGTCGCTAGGTGGGTTTTACTTTGAGTCTTATGTCAATGCTCAGTTACTGCTTTGGCTAGTATGGAGTAAAATAAAATGTGGTTAAAAATTAAAATGAGTATACTAACACCAAGTAATAAGCGCTCTTAGGAAACATTTTTGTATTAAAGCCTTGAGCAATTTGACAGGATGAACAACTAATACAGACACATTAAGTGAACAATTATTACATGATGCCACTGAGCTAATGCCTGAACCACTGCATCCCTTGTATATTGCTGAAGTTACTGCAATTTTTTCTTGATAATTTTCCCAGAGAAAAATGTAGGGTTTTTATATATATATATATACATGTGTGTGTGTGTGTATACACACACACATATACATACATATGTACATATATATACACGTGATACACATACTTTATAAGGACAGTGAAATTACATTAATTTTTAATAAAGCATCTGTTCTACTTGAAATGGCAAAATAACCTAATCAGAGACAAAAAAAAAAAAAAATCATTCTTCTGTTAACATAATTCAATGGAAAAAACACTGAATGCGTGAAACAGTCAAAGCAGATACTGTTAGATTAGTTACAAAGGGCCAAATATTTAGCTCACCTCAAACAAGCGTCCAGCATTAGTTCAAGTGTAAGGTATCAGCCCATAAAAGAAACTCCTGCTTGCAACGACTTCGCCTGTTTACATTTCAGATGTTCCTGTGCAGCAAAGGTACGTGCCACGCACAGGCAAAAATACCTACATGCACCTACTATAGCCACAGCAGTACACAACTCTAGCAATGGAAACACAAACCGCTGCTGAAAATCTGGCCCCATGCTACCAATAGCAGATGTCTTTCTTCCTTCCCCACCCTAAGATTACGGTAGTATCTCATCTGTAAAGCCAGAGCAGTTATCTGAAGACTTTATTAAAGCTCACGTGTTAGCTCATTAGAAGCAGTATTTACTAAACGAGAATAAAATTTTCTGGTTTCTGAAAAACCTATGCATGCATACATTTGGATCTAATTTAGGGCTAGTAGAAGGTGTTAAAATTCAGCAAGTCATAGCAAAGATACAGTGGCAAATCAGACATGCCAAGAGTAGTTAGTTCTTACTTTTAAGGTGTTTAGACAAATGTGTAGTGAAATCCATTGCTTAAGGGAGAGTGAGGTGGTTGTGGTACAGAAGGTGAGGGTGCTTTAGATGGATAGGTCAACTGGTGAGCTAGAAGGGATCACATACAGGAATTATGCAGCACAATCAAACATACATATTAAAACAGAGCCACCTCTTCTTTTTTAATCACACGAATAGGAAACCTGATTAGTAATGCAATGAGGTGTTACACTATTTTAGTTACATGGAACACAATTTAAATAACATTTCTACCTGCTTTTTTATTTATTTTTTTCTTATCAGTCGCAGTAAATTGTGCAAATAAACATTCCTGTTCTGATGAGATAGGATAGGATAACCTATATTAAGATGAAGTTTTACTGGAACATTTTAAGGCACACAACACTGATATATCTTAATCTGCTTATAAAAGTGGAGATTCTGGAATAGCATCTATATTTGCTAGCTTGGTTTCAAGATTTCACTGAGACTGCACAGGTTTTCAGCATTTCCTTTGTACTATGACAATAAACAGAAATACAGATATCTACAAAACCAAAAGATTATGAAATACTTTACAGATGTACATAACATTTTGCTTAATACAGTGAAAGATACAGTAAATACATTTTCTGATTTCAGCTTGAAATTTCAAAATATAGAATGTGACAGAAAAAAAAGATCTTTGTTTATAACAGAGTAATGGTATAGAAAACAATCCTAAAGCAAAAGCAATTCAAACTGAACTCAAAATTGAGCTTAAACTTTTACATTTTGGCAGGACAAAGGTATACCTATTCCCAAACAACAATTTGGGAAATGACTTTTTGATGCTTCCGTATCTGATTTTAATCTTTCAGATTCATGATATGATTTCCATTTAGAAGGATGATTTCTTTCTAGGAACAGAAGAACCCTGAGATGTTGCTTTGTAGGGGTTAGATCAATGCACAATTTATATTAAAAGTGTTACCATAACATCCTAAAGCATGCCAACTGCTTCACAAAAAACTGGGAAAAGTGAAGCTTCACAGCCTTTTCAAAAATAACTTTTTCTACAAAATCCGCACACTTAGTTTTGGATTTTCATATGTGGTCTGCTTGGTCAGTAAGGAGAAATGCTGACAAACCGAACTTTAAAATCAAACAACAAAAAAAAGAACGTGAATTCATTGATCAGTAAAATTAGAATAAGTGGGACTGTACAATCAGCTGTGCAAAGCATCACAGGACCTTCTTTTTAATCATTTTAGATTATCATAAAATGCACTATGGCCCAGGTTACATATTTTCTATCAAAAACAAACTATTTCTGCTAATGTTAGAATTCCCTGAAAGATTTTTTTATTTTATTTTTTTTTTTTAAGGAAAAACAATAATTGAAATCTAAGCATGACATGTTGAAAGAGGTGAATATTTTGGATGCAAATGTTGCAAGGAAAACTGTGTACATGGAGGTAGGTGTCTGGACTTCCGTAGACACTGAAGTCGTTAGGTAATATCTAAATTTTTATAGTTGTCTCAAAGAAAAAAAAGAGCTAGCTGCTGAACTTCACAAAAGTATTAAACTAAAATAAAACAAATCTCACAACTGACCACAAACGTATTTTTCAGGCAGAACTTAAACATTTGAATGAAGATACATGTTTTAATTCCCTCTGGGGAGAACTAAAGAATTAGAAATAATTGTGTGGCTATGCACTTTTAAGTAATCACACTTTTGAAATAATTGTAATAAGAACATTAAAAATACAAGAATAAAAATAGTAATGAAAACATAGCTAGTACATTCACTATACAACATAGAGAGATCAAACTTGTATTTCAGTACTGTGCAGTTATTGCAAATTCCTGCCCACCAAGAAATATGTTAACCTGCCACACGAAGTCTGACCAGCATGGCAGGTACTGTAGTCTTGCCATACTGACACAGAGGAAAAAAAAGTCAATTAAGGGCTGTGTTCATCCTTGTTAACCTCTGCTTCTGTGTTACTTCCCAGAAGAAGCTAGAACTTGCATGGCAAAATACTGCATTGGTTCATTCCTCCGGAGACAAAGCCCCACTCCATAACTCGAGCCAGTGTTAGAGCACAGATGACCTGCTCACTAAAAGGGGGACCAGACTGACCGCAGAGAAGCGATTTCTGTGCACAGATGCCTGAAGGTCCAAAAGATCACTGCTGAAATCCTCCCACGATCTTACAGTTCTGTTCCTAAGGTCTAGTCTGCTAGGCATGTAAAGCGGCATAGTGCCACATCTTTAACACATAAGAAAACTTCCACTTTTAATGGAAGCTGAGCTTTGGTCTTTGTAAAAGGAGCTGAAATTGAATATAACAGAATCCTTTCCCCTCCCTCCATGTATTTAAGTGCTGCTTTTCTTCCTCAATGAATCATTTTATCCTTTCCGGTAAGGAAACTTCCCATAGAACCTCTCCAAACTCTCCAGATTGTAACCTGAAAACGTATTCCATCCCCTCAAAATTACATTCCCCTCGGATTGAGCTACCAACGCATCCTTGAGTATGCTGCCATATTCAATCAACACTCTGTTACTACAGATGCATGTTATGCATCTGGATATTGGAATAATCTGTCTTTAACGGAAAGGTCTTTAGGGCTTCTGTGGCAAGGGCCGTAAGTTTAAACTGACAACTTCAGATGAGAAATGTGCATATTTTTTCTCCATCATAGTTGAAATTTCCATTATTTCCATTCTCCACTGCAACAGCGAACTGTGCCAGTTACAAATGACTAGTCCGATGCTTGCTAAAATAGCTGCTGTGTGTTCACTGTCATGTGTGATACAAATTGGCTGACGTTTCTTACATATTTCAACTATAAAGCAATCAAGAATGAAATTATCATTTTTAGTAAAATATTGCAAAGGATCTACTAATTTCCAGGCATCAAAGAGAATTAGCGCATGGATGTCTTGCTCTGACCTCTAACTTTGGCCGCCAGACACCCATTTTACAACACCTTTTTCAGCATGCTGTCATACAGCTCAAGCTCCAGGTGACTGTACTTTAATTGCAAGTTCAGTGGTTCCACTGAATCTTTCTTTAAAGGAAAGAATCCCTTTGTCTTGATTTTTTTTCAGTCATAGTCAATTTTTTTTAATTGATATACAAGTACCTCACTTAATGTAATTACAGGGAATTCCTTGAAAACTTTCCATTTTTAGTGCCTTTAGTAACTACTGACTTCCAAGCTCTGAAATTCTGATCACGTTTTCTCCCCCTCCCCGCTTCGCTGAAGGCCAAATATTCAATGCGGATCTTCAGCCTCTCTAAATTTGGTATCTGTACACATAATTGACAATTTTGAATAAGAATAAATAAAACTCTCTCTTACGCCAGCAGTTTAGCAACAACTGCACACAACTTTAGAAGCAGGTAGAAATAGCTGTTATTTTGTAAATAAGTATTACCTGCTACCTCCTTGCTCCTCTGAGAGGCTTCAGAAGCCAGAGTGTATGATATGGTAATGATGCGTTCCTGCTCTTGCAGCTGTGAATCTAGATCAACGGAGCTGTGTTTGTCCTGGGCAATAGTAGGCTGTAGATTGTGCATGCTAGCGGGAAAGCGTAAAACAATATTAACATTTATAAACAAAGAAGAATCCACTGTGCACACGAGAAGAGAGCTCAAGAGAGTTCAAACAGCAGTTTTCAGATCTCACATATCAAGCTCCACACTTCATTGCAGTCCTTTACAATAACGTGTTAGATATTGTAAGTAAATGAATACAGCATACAAAGACAAATGATGTAACCACTGCATGTTCACTAACAATTTGTGCCTAGCTTTAAGTACATCTGAAAGCCCTTTGTTGTAAACAGGTTGTTTACAGGAAAGTACTATAAAAAAGTTATTTATTTGAAACTAATAATAAAAATTCTTGTTAATGGTGCCCAGAGGAAGAGGTACAACCTGAAAGTCCTCAGGTACAGCCTCATTAATGACCTTTCAAAGAAAAAGCAGATACTTGAGGTGACCAAATTCCTAAACGGAGAGATTTGGCTATCTGTAAGCAGCCAAAGTTCTTTTACAACTCTGCCTCTTCAGAGGCAACAGAAACTAGCTTTCACACGGACTTTTTTTTTTTTCTGCTTTTAGCCAGAGCTGTGCCTGTCCTTCCTCCTCACCCCTCATCTACAAATTGTTTGGTAAGGATTCACTAGTATTTTAGAGTGCTCTGAGGAAGAAAATGGACATACACCAGAGTCATCGCTATTAGTCTCTCTTCTGCCCAGTTTTAAGAAGGAGCATCAAGCATATTACCGTGTAAATTCTGCCTGCATTTTCTAAGAGTTACAAAATATTACACTTAGAAAACTGGACCTGTTGTAAAAAGTTGGTTTCTAATGTTTAACACCACTTCCTATGTAAGATTTGAAAAATAACTGACCTTGATTTAGTAAGAATATTCTTTATCTTTTCTGCTTTACGTTGCCTTGCTGCCAGCTCTTCTGTAGAAAGAGGTTCTTCTGGCTCCAGTTCAACATAGCGCTCTGGAATTGCAACCTTCTCAGGTTTTGACAACTGTGGAAAGAAAACAAGCGTCAAGTTTTTAATAAGAAGGACTTCAAAAAAAGCTTTGAGATACATTCTCCTCAGTGAGAGAACACCGTGGAAAGAATAAAGCATGAGTCTTCACAATCTGTATATTTCCCTGGTTCTAAACATTCCTTCCAGTCATGAACTCATGTCCTTTTAATAGTACCTTTTTCTCTGATTAATTTTACTTTGAGAAGATAATATCAAAGGTGCTTATAGGAGAAATCAGAATCAACTGGGAACCTTTCCCCAGCTCAGGTGTAAAACCCAAAGCAGGATGTTGTCCCTAAAGTTGCTACATTAGAAAGAAGCAGCCAAATACGACACTGACTGGACAATCTGAGATTTTAAAAGAACATTGAAAGATATGTAGGACACACCAGTGAGGACTTCCTGCAACCAAAAGGAAGTATCATCTGATGTTTTAGTGTTTAAATCTAAACCATCCTTTTGAGACTGCATAATCTTTCTCTGTGAGCAGCAGAGAATGAAGAAAAGCCAGCATTTTACACTCATCCTTGGAAATTCTTGGATTATAAAATTGGAAGTCCTAGGCGTTCAAAAGTTATCTGATCTGACCCAGAAACACACCAACATTGCGTGATAACATGTTGCATGCACATAACAACGTGGATTGAAAATTTTAATAATTAAACTGACTGCATAAAACCCAGCAACAAGTTTTGTTAGGATCCGCTTCTTGCTGAAAAAATTTCGCTCTACAATCACCTAAAGAAAACTCAGTTTACAGAGGGACTTTGAAAGTCAACACTTATGAAACAGAACAGAGTGCTTCTGAAGAGCACAAAGAGAGAAATATGTGAACAAAAAAGAGAGAGAGAGAGCGGGAAGAGGGGGAAGGAGGGAGGGGAGGGGAACTCCTTGTTCCTTAAAGGACTCATGAATCACAGAATGGTTGAGGTTGGAAGGGACCTCTGGAGATCATCTAGTCCAACCCCCCTGCTCAAGCAGGGTCACCTAGAGCAGGCTGCCCAGGATCACATCCAGACGGCTTTTGAATATCTCCAGGGAAGGAGACTCCTCAACCTCCCTGCACAACCTCCTCCAGTGCTCTGTCACCCTCACAGCAAAGAAGTTTCCCCTCGTGTTCAGACAGGACTGCCTGTGCTGCAGCTTGTGCCCGTTGCCTCTTGTCCCGTCGCTGGGCACCACCGAGAAGAGTCTGGACCCATCCTCTGCCCCACTGAGAAGAGTCTGGACCCATCCTCTGCCCCATCCCCCTTCAGATACTGGTACACATTGATCAGATCCCTCCCCTGCAGTCTTCTCTTCTCCAGGCTGAACAGGCCCAGCTCCCTCAGCCTTTCCTCAGAGGAGAGATGCTCCAGTCCCTTCATCATCTTAGGAGCCCTTCACTGGACTAACTGCAGGTCCCTCTTCTATTGGGGAGCCCAGCACTGGAGCCAGCACTCCAGGTGTGGCCTCACCAGGGCTGAGGAGAGGGGCAGGATCACCTCCCTTGACCTGCTGGCAGTGCTCTTCTTAATGCAGCCCAGGATACCGTTGGCCTTCTGGGCCACAAGGGCACAGTGCTGCCTCATGGTCAACTTGTCCAGAGCTGCTTTCCAGCAGGTCAGCCTCCAGCCTGTACTGGTGCATGGGTTCCTTCTCCCGACGTGCAGGACCAACGTGCACTTCCCTTTGTTGAACTTCAGGAGGCTCCTCTCTCCCCGTTTCTCCAGCCTGTCGAGGTCTCTCTCAACGGCAGCACAACCCTCGGCTGTTTCTGCCTGTTTCATATCATCAGCAAACTTGCTGAGGCTGTACTCTGTCCCTTCATCCAGGTCAGTGTGGAATAAGTGTGGATCAGGACTGGACCCGCTATTGACCCCTGGAGCACCCTGCTAGCTACAGGCCTCCAACTAGACTTTGTGCCCCTGATCACAGCCCTCTGAGCCGGGCTGTTCAGGCAGGTCTCAATCCACCTCACTGTCCGCTCATCTAGCCTGTACTTCCTCAGCTTGCCTACGAGGATGTTATGGGGGACAGTGTCGAAAGCCTTGCTGAAGTCAACGTAGACAACAGCCACGGCTTTTCCCTCATCTACCCAGCCAGTCCTTCCATCATAGAAGGACCTCCGGTTGGTTAAGCATGATTTTCCCCTTTGTGAATCCATGCTGACTACTCCTGATCACCTTCTTATCCTTCTTGTGCCTGGAAAGGCTATCCGAGATGAGCTGCTCCACCACCTTTCCAGGGATGGAGGTGAGGCTGACTGGCCTGAAGTTACCTAGGTCCTCCCTCTTGCCCTTTCTGAAGGCTGGAGTGGCATTTGCTTTCTTCCAGAAAGTGCATGAAGCATTGAGTTTCCAAAACCCAAAGCTTTAGATAAGAAGAATCCCACATTTTTCAACTTCATGCCACTCAACTGAATCCACACTAATTCAACAGCGTTTGTAAAGTGACCTGATCAAGCTCTTAGTGACTAGGCTCAGTAACTCACAAGCTGTCGCAAGTCCCAAAGCACATAATACAGTAATTTTGTTACTCATAACTCATAACTCAAGCAACACTAAAATCACAACTTCAAATTTTTATACTCCTTTCCTGATAAACCCTAGACCAATGCTTCCTGAAAATTTTTCATTTTCCACTGCACTTCCTAACCTTTGGGTTCAACTTCCCTCTGGAGCTTGGCAGCTGTACATATTTAGACTACAGCTAACCTAGACTCATCTAGCCCTTTCCAGAACAACAAACTCTGTTATCATGTGAGCAGCAGACTCACTAGCCCTAAAGACAGAAATGCTAACATTTCCTTAGGAGCTACAGGAGTGGCCAGGTGAAGAGGACGGTTACATGAACGGAAAAAGACAAGCCAGGTAATCTGAGAAGGAATGTTTAAATCCAGAACCTCAGACCTGCTTCAGTTACTCTGAGGTATGACAGAAATGCCTATAAAGATAAATATTTTCTAGCCTAGACTGAAGGCAATAGGTTGAATATGACAAGTAATTGATGCAGCCTTGGAAGCCTTCTGGATAATATTTTAATAGCAAACTGAAACAAGGAAAGACAATGAACATTTTCTCCATTTCTGTTGTTTACTGGAACACTGAATTCACTTTAGAACATATACAAAGATTAACAGAAAGGTGCATTCACATGTAGAGATCAAGAGACAATGGCTCACAGGTGCACCGAGGAGGTCATCTTTTAAAAACTGTACTTAAAATGATGCACTGACGACAAATTTCAGAGCAGGTTTAACAAGTCTAGACATTTTAAATAATTTTATTGAAATTCCATTTGCCATGGCATTTTACATATCGCATATCATCCATCTAAAACTTTCTGCTTGCTATATTCTTTCCTTTCCACCAGATGGCTCAATAGCATTTTAAAAAAATGCTTTTTGAGCTAGAGCTGCAAATAAAACCTAGCGCCCAGAATACCAAGTCATTTGAAAAGTCAACAGAACAATGTCTTTTTTCCTGATCAGCACAATGCAGTGTTCACTCTTCTTCATTATATTTTGTGAGATCAAAATGAAGAGTAAGGTAGCTCTGTGGAACTGCTACTTCCTTGTCGTTTCTTATTTTAAATACTCTTCAGTGCTGTCTTCTCAACCTTTTTCTAATTTATATAACATTGCCTAACTTAATCACTTCTTCCCTATAAAGCCTGCCATATAAAAGAGCCAGCCTTTTATTTTTTTCCTTTCCTCTGAGACCCAATATTTGCAAAAGCCACACACAAACTCTTTAGTGCAAGGCTATAAATACGCTTCTTTTTCAATGCCTAAAAGACTCCTTCCTTCTAGTTAGAACTTCCAGCTAACTTTTGAAACAAAAGATTAAGATTCATTAGCCAAAACTCAGAAAGGTTAACATTTTGGGGCACAGAATAGGAAGCGACGAAGTACAAGTGTTACCTCTCTGCTGATATCTAAATCATAATCTTGAGGCTCCAGGTCTGTCTCTGTTATTGCCACTGGCTGAATTTTTAACCAGTTGTTTTCATCCTTGTCTTCTCCACGAATTACCCTCTCAAGTAACTGCAAATCAAATTCTTGCTCTCGTTTCCACTGGTAATAGATACAAAAGAATTAACAGTATTCAACCATACTGACAAATCCACTCTTTAGCAATGTTTACAACTACTGCTGCAAATGTTATGCTGCTGAAAGAATCTACAAAGTAAAACGCTTAACTGATGAAAAAATGAAAATGTAACTCTATTTCTTGGAACATCTCGTTTTGGATTTCATCTCTGTTATGCTGCGTGGATTTCTAAGTATTGTTTAATTCTACAGGAAACTGTTCGGTAGTATTAAATTCTAACAAATATATTTGCCACTATTTCACGCATGCCTGTTAAAAAGGAACTGCGTACACACAAACATCCGTGGAAGCAGAGATGCCCACACCAGTGAGTTTGGGGACTGACAGCCCAGGCCGTTCTAAGCGAACAATGCTGGCTAATTTGGAATCGCTACACAGAACGGCCGTTTATACTGCCTTACTAGTAGTAAGGATTGCAACTTGTACATTTTCTATAGCTTTCTAGAAAAATACTTAGTGATTACTGCTGATATGTTAGATACTACTGTTAACATCTCTTGAATTTGAAAGTATTAGTAACTTATAATATCTTACTAAGACTCCACTAAAAGCAGTTATTTTCTTACACGAGCTACCTGCAAATATTAAAAAACTCCCAAATCTTTCATATTCTGTCTTTACAAGGTAAATACTCAGCAATAATAAAATCAGAGCATATTTAAATTAAGCAGCATAATTCTTGAGTTCTCTAATCTTAATGCCTAAATAGCTCCTTCACAGCTATGCACATAACACAGATGTATAAAAACGCATGCTTAAAAATACTACCAACATATTTTTGTTCATAAATGTCAAAATTCAGTTCAATTGCAGCATCATTCTACCCAGTAGATTTCATCAACTTTAACATACAAAACTGAAATTTGATATTAACAGCAGCAGGAAAAAGAAGGGACAAAAGAACTAAAAACATTTATCTCCTCAAGTATTTGAGGGTATCAGTAGGAGAACATGCCACAGTATGTCTCTTAAAGACAGTTCGGATGTTTATATTATGAATCTTTATCTCATTTTGACTGAAGTTTGAACTCTACGTGAAGTCCTTAGACTCCACTACGCTACTTGCATCTACTTGAAACCTATTCATGCACAAGCTCTCAATATTCACTCGGAAGATACACATCTTCTATTTGTAAAAGTAACATACAGCTGAAAAGACAACTGCTTCTCAAAAACTGAGATGTTTCTTTTTAGAATTCAAAAGAGAAAAAAATATTTTCTCATACTGGTTCTCCAAACTCATTCTTCTACTCATATTTGAACCAGGCCTGATTGACATAGTATATTTTAAATACACAATATTATTTTCAAGTTATTAATATAAGAAAAACATCAAACCATTATAATGAAGCAATATTTTTATTGGCTTTGATGTTGCGATTTTTACATTAAAAAGGCATTTTATATAACAATAATTCATGTACTGTGATCAATATTTTAAGTGTCATACTAGAGAGCTGATCGATTAAAAGTTAGAGTTACACATACAACGTATGCTTAAAGCAAATGTTACATACTGAGCAGCACTTCAACTATACATTTAATTGTTCACCGTTCTGGCTGCTAACGAATTGTAATGCCGTAAGCAATTGTGCTATGAAACATGCTTTTTGTGTGTTGAAGCCCTATTGGTACAAGAGATGATCATTACGAAACATTTCTAGGGCTAAAAGATTAATTTTAAGTCTTTACAGCAAGAAAAAGACCAAGCTGGCACCCAAATTTATAGATAAAATGTTTGCTACAGATGTTAATATGGAGTGTTACAAAAACATTTAAATTAGACTTGTGTATGTTAGAGTCATGAAACAGTAGAAGCTCAGGTTTAGTTCTTCCAATTAAAATATGAAAATAACAGTGACACCAAAGTTCTCCAATTCCCCAAATACTACGCACTATCTTTAATAAATTTGTGATTGCAAAACAGAAGACAAAATAGATTGTCTCCAAGTAGTGCACTCATATTTACTGGGAAAGCGAATACAAATAATTGGTTGTAAATTAGTGTTACTGAAGGTTTTTAAGAAATGGGAACGAAAGATTGAATATTATAGGGGGGTTTTACATGCTAGCAATTGACACATATGTACTAAATGCAATTAAGCCTGGTAAAAATTGAGTAGTCCAGTTAGAAATTTTAAAATAACTACAAATTCTGCAAATTAAAAACAAAATAAAAACAACAAAAAAGAAGAGGCATTAGGTATGATGAGTGACAAATCTAAAAGCAAGAGATCTTGTGCAATGAATTAGGTAAAATAAGGTGATCATTCTAAAGCTCTAGTGGACCAAATAAAAAATAAATTAAAAGACCACAGCATAAGTGCAATTATAGTACAATCCTGGTTTAGCACCAAGGGAGCAATTGGGTAACTTCATCAATTAGAACTGCTTTGGTTAGTATCCAAAACGTATCATTACAAACTTATATTCTGTACAGTATCTCATCTCAGAATGCAGCAAAAATCCTTTTCTTCAACAACTTTAAGTTGAGCCTTATTAGAACATTCTACATTTTGAGCTTTAAAGCAGAACTGACAACAATTAAACACATCACCTCTTACATAAATTTCTAATAAAAATTATTAGGTTTTAAAAATGATGATCCATTTATCAATTCTAAAAACAAACAAACAAAAAAAAAACCCAAACCAAACAATCAAAATGAAATCCTTCCACCTTGGTCTGATATTACCACAACTATCTCACAATCTAATTTAAGAATTTAAAAGAAATAAAAATCCACGGTGAATAAGAACATTCTAAAAGGCCCATTCCTTTATGAAGCAGTATGAAAACTGTACAAACTTCTTACACATTCTAAATATAATTCCAATAAAAAACAATGTCTCTTAAATCACTCCAATATACTCTAAAAAAAACGCGCCACAACCCTCGGCCCACCTTCCCTGCGGACCCTGCTACTCATACTGTAATTACTAGCAAAAAAAAAGATTATCTGTTATTCACACTCTCTGAACTCATTTTACACTGTGTAACACTAAATTCATTACACCAGAGGCATCACACACACTCAAGTGAAAGTGCTTGCTAGGAAAAAAAAATCCAAAGATCATATTTTTAGTGTAGTCCTTTTAAAGCATATCTAACATACTGAGCCTAGGTCTGCAGAAATGGGCCTGATGAAAGATCGAGATGAAACAGGCTGCCTTTCTCCTTGGCTAAGAGTTCTCTTGCGTTCACGAACTAATGCTTTCTGATGTCGTTTCATTCTTTCTAGTTGTTCCTCTGCGCTCATCTTGCCTCTTTGGTGGTCTCCAGAGTATAAACGTTCCAAGGCACTCTTTGGTCTCTCCTGTAAGAGGTCACAAAGCATATAAAACACATCTTGCAATTAATACTTTTTAAAAAGTAAACAAAGAACAAAAATTTAATTCCTTCTCTTATTTTATCACCAAATGAGATGATTTTGCTCTGTTATTTCTTATTAATGTGCACATTTCAACTCTGTAACTTCTGTAACTTAGGGTAGCAGTACTGCTGATCTGGGGTTCTGAACACTGTTTTATAAGTCTATTTAAAACGTAGTCAGCTGTTGCCTACCTGCTCCATGATTCATTTAACAAAGTGAGAAAACAGGAGATTTTATCAGATCACAGGTGTTAGAATATATCCTATCCTGCGCTATTAGAATCCCATTTCCTGCTATGCAATACATATCTGGGTTTAACAATATTTTGAACAATCCAGACATTTGCCTTCAAATGTTTATTTAAAACTTACCTTGGACCTATCCCGTCGAAGTGTTGCATAAGATGAAATGGTGGATGACTGGTGCAATCTGGAAGTTGATCCAGATAAACCTTTACAAATAAAAGGAAAATTCTTTAAAACCAAATGACAGTCAAAAGGAAGGTCATAGTCAAATGTTTTTAAAATGATCTTACTTCTTCTATTATGTTGTGGTTACTATTTTAGTTCACGTTTCACATTTTTCAGTTCAGAGGGCCATGAGAGGCAGGTAATTTGATTTCAGCACAAGTAATACAATTTCAGGTCACTATTGATTAAAATTCAGAAACACCTTCAATAGTTCAGAAGCTTATATTAAATGAGGCATGGTATGGATCCAGCTGTACAACAGTAGATAAGGTTTACAAACAATCATATCTATGAACAAAACCAACTCTTACTGTTCATAGAGGGGAGAGAAATAAGAAGAGAATGGATAAAAACGCATTGCTCTTCACCTCTATCCTCTCTGTCGTCATTTGTGAAGCAGTTACAAGACTGGTACAACAGAGATGCAGTGACAAATAGCATGCGGTATTTGTGGGCACTCTGCAGTATCACACAATGTGTGATTAATACCGTTCTTACTCTTTAGCACTTCCATTTCAATGCCGTCCACAAGAAATAGAAGCACATAAGAAAATCTTTGAGTTTGTACAACATCACACAGAGATTACAAGAGAAATAATTCTGAATATAGAAGATATTCTAACAGCTAATTTTCATGTTTTGTTTTTATGTGTTTGGTTTGTTTTTAATTGTATACTAAGCAGCTTTGCAAAAGGCTGGTTATCTTTAACAACATCATTAAAACACAAAAACTCTCTAGAACTTCAGAACTACGCAGCGTTGTATAGTTAATTTTAAAATAATGATCTGAAGATAAAGATTATCTCCACAAATTTCCTGGGGAGAAAAGCTCCCATATACTACTACATAAAGTATTTTAAAAAAAAAAAAAAGTCAGCTATATTAATTCTGGACTTACCACGGGTAGGTAATGTCTGGTATCCACCGTCAGAGGTTATTAAACCACTGGAAGGTTGGCTGAGGTCACCATGTATCGTTGCTAGCTCTGGTTCACTCATGTACGAACGCAGTTCTACCTATATGGATAAATACTGATTTGCTCAAATGAAAGACACAGATAGCAAGTCTTAACACCTTAAGACAAATCCTAATAGCTTTGTTACTAGATCTCTCTCTGCCAGACTGCAAGTTTTTCTGGTTGCTATAAAACCTGGAGGTGCATACATTTTTACAGACAGTAACTCTCATTATATTTTTAAAGCACAGGTATGAGTGCTTACCCTATAATCTCCATTTACATACTGTCCTAGTTCTCTGTCTCTCTTTCTTTCATCTGACTGACGTTTCAGTCCCCGCACTGATGTATGTCTGATGACAGTGGCTTCTCTCGGAAGAGGCGGAACAGCTGGTGGCTGATCATCAGGACTGTACAGCTGAGGGAGAGGAGGTCTGGGTGGTGCTTCATCTTCCTAGTTACAGGAAATCACAGGTATTTAGCAAGCAGTTTGTGGCAGAAGCTGTCTGAAAATTCATTATATTCTAAGAGTTATTTATGAACGTCATTGACAGTTCCTGTTTCCACACCAGGAGCTTTAGGCTTTAAAAATAAACTAAAACAAACAAACAAAACCTCATTACTGAGGAAGGTTCTGCCTTGACAGGTTCTAAAACAGCATATGGCTACCGAGTGTAAACCTCCAAGTTACATACATACGTACTATGCTACTACTTACTTACATACTATGCAAGTGCTATTGCTCAGTTTCACTACAAACACCGTAAATACCTCTCTCGCATATCCACACACTGCACTCAATAGCCATGAAGGCTTTCAGTGCTTCTGTCAGAAGTAAATGCAAACCCTGGTGAACGGAACTCAAAACAGTAATACTTACAACCTTTGGCGTTAGCTTAACTGGCGACTGAAGAGGGGGCTCGATCTTTTTCAGCTGCTGTGTTTGGTGCTGTGTTCTAGCCTGGAAGTAAGGCTGTGGATACAGCCTAACTTCCAAAGAGGATTTAATGGGACTAGATGGAGGACTTTGTGGAATGGAAAGTTTGTTCTCCACGGATTTCAGAGAAGTTGGTAAAGAAGGCACTGTAGACTGAGAAAATGAAGGCACTGTTTTTCTCTCTATGGGAGAAATATGCAAATGTATTAGATGTCATTATATATGTTTGTTCTTAAATATATCAATAATGTCCATAAGAATACAAATTAACATCTTTAGGCTTTAAAAAATAACCCCAAAACTCTGCACTTCATTTTGAATACAAACCAATACTTTTTGGACATAAAAATCTGACCAGAACATTATGGTGGAGTGGGCAACTTTTTCATGATGAGGATCAAATAAGCCTTTCAGGCCACAGATAAAAACATACAGTTTAATATCATGCGATACAATGCCTTGGAGGAGACAGGGGAGGGAAGGAAAGACAAGCCTGAGAGTTATCTAAAATCAGTTCACAGGCTGCATCTAGCCCCATGCCACAGATTCCTTAAGGAGCCTGTACATCTAGGCAAGGCTGAGTATCCGTTGCTATACCTGAAATAAAAGAAAATCTCACCATTTCAGAAAGATTTTCTCTCTTCTCTGTACATAAAAGGCAAAGATAAGGTAAAGATAATTTAAATATATAATAAAAAGTGAATTTACAGAAGGCATTAACAGTCTCTTAGTATCCCAATGTACTAGGTCTTTTTTTGAAACATAAAAAAGCACCTGAAATGCAGAGCGCGCACACTATCAACCTTCCTCCTTTCCACCGCTGCTGATGCTGCTCTGCCCTCCGAATGCCTGCCTGTAGCAGGAGGGGGGAAGGCAAGAATAGCAAGGGCACTCGGCAGCTTCCAAAAAGAAAAGGAGGAAAAAGCACAGAGAGGAGCTCTTGGATAGACTACAATAGAAACCATGCTCATAGGTACAGAATCACAGAATCACAGAACGGTTGAGGTTGGAAGGGACCTCTGGAGATCATCTAGTCCAACCCCCCTGCTCAAGCAGGGTCCTCTAGAGCAGG